TGCAAGTTTCTATAGATGTTATTGCATAAATGTAGGCACTGGCATTTACCTGACTATATTTTCTAAGGTACCGGCAAGGGTGTGTGTATTTATGAGTAACAGTATCAATATACATACATGTGTGTGTGTAATGTGTGTATATATATGTGTGTGTGTGTGTGTGTGTGTGTGTGTGTGTTTGTACGTGTGCGTGTGGGTGTTTGAGCGTTCGTGTCTGTGGTCAACATGCATCCAAGTGCCGATGCATAAACGGCACCAAATGACTGACCTATCGATTCAAACGCCTTTTTCCTGCATCATTTCCGTTTGAAACTATACATTGAAAACCTACACCACATGTAAGTTATTTCAATCATCTGATTTCATTCATTGTTGAAAAAATTGTACATATATTTATATATGTATATATATATATATATATATATATGTATATGTATATATATATATATATATATATATATATATATGTATATATATATGTATATGTATATATATATATATATATATATATATATATATATATATATATATATATATATATATATATATTTATATATATATATATATATATATATATATATATATATATATATAAACACACGCACACACATATACATATATATGAACACACACCACACACACACATATGTGTGTGTGTGTGTGTGTGTGTGTGTGTGTGTGTGTGTGTGTGTGCGTGCGTGTGTGTCTGTGCCTGAGTGTGTATATGTGTGTGTGTGTGTTTCAAGTCAAAGTTGGTCCCGTATCCAAGTGCACGTGGGGGACATATAAGCCGCGGGATGCGGTAAGGTGTCAGTTCCTTTCTGCCTCAACTTTGACCCCAGCATGATGACGTCAACAGTACTCACTCACAGCTAAGTCGACTGAGAGAGGCGACCAGGTGTGAACCTAGTCCCTTGCGATTGCAAAGTCAGTGTTCTATCACTGAGTTGTCTATGTATATGTGTATATATATATATACGTGTATATATATATGTATATATATATATATATATATATATATATATATATATATATATATATATATATATATACATATATATACATATATATACATGTATATACATACACACATACACACACATAAACATACACACACGCACTCATATATATATATATATATGTGTGTGTGTGTGTATACATATATACATATATCTATACACACACACTTGCGCACACGCACATATATATGTGTGTGTGTGTGTGGGGATGTGTATAAACATATACAGACATAGGAATAAATATCTAAATGAAATTGTGTGTGTGTTATGCTAACGTACACCTCTATATACCTAGATGTATTCGTTTGTATATCTGTTATAGTACATTCTTTTTTAAAAATCTAAATATTGATCACACGCATGTCCTGTATCGCCCTCTTCATCTTTTTTCCAGCGCCCGACCGACACTCCACGTCGAATGGATTCCGCCAAGAGCCGCGTCGCCCTCGTTCGAGTGATGGCTTCATCCGCGTTCGATTCCGCAGGCTGACTGGAGGAGCTTCGCGAGCCATTATCTCGGGTCCCAAGGTCGGAGGTGCTGACTGCTGCCTGCGTCTCGATTGCGACTTCACGTCATCGATAAACGGCGCTTGCGGGTGGCCGGTAAACACTCCAGGCTCCTCTGAGGGAAAGCATGAATGATTGATCCCAAAAGTGTTTCGTTGGCGTTCATTCAGGTCCGTCTTGTAGTTTGGGTGACTGACGCCATTATACTTTTAGGTCTTGTGCATTTTCTTGAAGAGACATTATATTCTTTATTCTTTGAAATATATGTGGGAATAAGGTGATGCCAGAAATATATGTGTGAAAATGTGATGCCTGGCCCTTCCTTTTTCTCGATATTTTGAAATCATAAATTGTTAAACAGTAAATATATCTGGTTTCATTTTGCAGGTAAAGATAGGTGTGAAAGCCATTTTGATGCATGGTTTTTTAACTATTCTCATACATTGCAGTCGTAACGAGTCCATTTCCGGAGCGACATGATATATTAAATGGATTCCCTTCCCAAAATTGATGACGAGCATTAACTGGCAAACAGTTGCGCCGGTCGATGAATAACTCATTACTGTCTTTACTGTTACACTATCTTCTCTGGGTGTAATATGCTAGTCATTAATTTATCGAGGGTACGACATATCTTACCTTGAACCGAAATGTGAAACAAAATTGTTTCCTTTGAATTTCGAAGCAAATCGTATTCGAATCTTGTCTCATTGCCTTAACACTTTTTTCAACCCCTTATATTCTGAGGTTCTAATCAGCAGTGGTTCATGCGGTTAATCTTAGACAAAATATAAATATAAATTCTTTAAAAACCCGGAAATTGAGAGAAAAAATCTTATCTTTTATTTTTAATCTACTTTATTATTATAATTATTATTATTATTATCATTATTATTATTTTTTATTATTATTATTGTTATTATTTGTGTGTGTGTGTGTGTATGTGTAGTGTTTGTGTGTATGTATGTGCGTGTATGTATGTTCATCTTATTTATCTTGCTGACAGGAATGCGCTCAGTGCAGCAGTGATGAATCATTCAACTTAGTAAACACAGACTAACACTTATTAGATAGTGATTATTTTGCATTGCTTCACTAGCCCACGATAAAAGGCTCTGGAATGAGTCGCAGGACAATGACAAAATATGAAAATGTAAGTGAAGAAAGACTATACAAATGCAAGTCTCTGCAACAACTTAGCAATCCCAATACTTGGCTGTATCGCAATCCTCACAAAACTGCAGCAGAATCAATGGACGACGCGTTAACATCTAACAGAATTCTAAATGCGGTTGTAATACATTTGAATGGAACAACAACTATGGACCGGAGTCAAGCCTTTGTGGTAATAAGTACTTTTCTATCCCTACTGGACAGTAACGAAGCTTCTTATTGTCTTGTTTTATTGTCCGTATATACATACATGCATACATGCATACATATATGTATATATATATATATATATATATATATATATATATATATATATATATATATATAAATATATATATATTCTCTCTCTCTCTCTCTCTCTCTCTCTCTCTCTCTCTCTCTCTCTCTCTCTCTCTCTCTCTCTCTCTCTCTCTCTCTCTCTCATTCTCTCTCTATATATATATGTTTTTCCTTTCTTTTTTTAAGATAAAAAACATTAGTTTAATTCATGAGGTAAAATATTTTGTTGATAATCAAGATAAACATGGCATAAACAACAGAACCATCATATACTGATTCCTAAATGAATTGCCACGGGTAGGGCAGCAGGTGGGAATTCACAAGCCATTTCTTGTGAAATACAACGTAGCCAGTCACTTCCAACTTATGCCATGCTCCACTGCCCTTGCATGCCCTTACGGCTCAAGGACGAGGCATCAGGTGCTCATCTCGCACACAGTCAACGTGTTTCATAAGCAGATTATCATTAATGATTGTACATAATTTCTTTTCCTGGATTGGTCCATAAGCAAGAAAAGCAGAGTATATTAAAAAGGAGCCTTTTTGAAAATATGACCAGAGACTCTAAAAAAAAGGATAAAACTCTCTGGAGTATAAATAGCACTATGAATAAACAACTGTAAACATTATTTTCTATATTTGGCTGGTGTTAGTCTTTGATGCAAACGCTGACATTCTTTATTAGAACACGAACACACACACACACACACACACACACACACACACAAAATTCAGATTTAATTCTACAGTTAAGTATAATTTTTATTTTCATTTTGATATATTTAATAATATGAAAAGACCATAATTCTTCCAATGCTTAGACTCGGAATACGTTAATCCGATCCAGATCTTCCCTCTTTATTCCCTTCCATTCAAAACGTTTAATCTTTTTTTTTTTATCATAACCAAAATACACCACTCCTTCAGAACAAGAGTTTCGTTCAAACATGAAATCTCTCCTGTTCAGAACGCAGTGCAAGTTCGTGACCTGTTTCTTCGATCATATGGTTACGACCGGAATTTGGTTCATGATATCGACCTAAGGGATGTTACTTTCAAACAATGAGTATGAGCGACTTCGTGTTGGCTTATGCTTCGGTTATATTACTTTTATTAGCTGCTAAATTGTTCCAATATTTGTTGTGGTTTCATTTTTTAAAAATCTTTCATCTTAATGGTGGTGTTACTCGTATTCAACTCATGCAACCAATTTGAGAATAATTATCATCTTTGTATATCATTATCATTATCGTTGTCTTTAATAACATTATCGCCATCATCTTCATCTTCATCCTCATCATTACCATCATCATCACCATCATCATCATCATCATCATCATCATCACCATCATCATCACCATCATCATCACAATCATCATCATCACCATCACCATCATCATCATCACCATCATCATCATCATCATCACCATCATCATAATCATCATCACCATCACCATCACCACCACCATCACCATCACCACCACCACCATCATCACCATCATCATCATCATCATCATCACCATCATCATAATCATCATCACCATCATCATAATCATCATCACCATCACCATCACCACCACCATCACCATCACCACCACCATCACCATCACCACCACCACCATCATCACCATCATCATCATCATCATCATCACCATCATCATAATCATCATCACCATCATCATAATCATCATCACCATCACCATCACCATCACCATCACCACCACCACCATCATCACCATCATCATCATCATCATCATCACCATCATCATCATCATATCATCATAATTACAACAACAATAATAACATATTCTCTCTCTCTCTCTCTTTACTTTATAACGATCCTCTTATTTATTAATAACTAAATAAATCACGCCATATACAACCTTAATCCTACACAATCATTTCCCTTCGCGCCGAGACCCCCTCCCCCCACGTGACCCGCCCGCCCAGCCAATCAGAATCGCGATCATCTCAGCCAATCAGCGTCGCGATCGGCAGGCTGTTTACATCGCTCCGGGAGGG